ATTAGTCACGTATAAACTAAATATTCAGCATGACTGCAGAGGCACACAAAGGGGCTCTGTTATGTATAGCTCATAAGCCACTCTGAAGGTCGTTCAGCCCAATCTCTCCTCTAAGCATTCACAGTCTGGCCTAATGTGCTTTGAATTAAACCAACGGAGGGGGAAACATCAAATTGCTGTTCTAATTTACCAATAATAACAGAGTACAAGCTTCTAATTATAATGACATATAAACAGTTTGTGTGCTCTGGAGGAACACAGTGTGATTTTACAGCAATCACAAACATGACAACTCACCAGCTGGAAAATCCTGTCATTTGCTTTTATAGTGAGGGACATGAGAGGCAAAGCAACAAAGCCATAATATCAAACTGAGAGTGTGGATTGATTTTATATCGTCCTGCTGTGGAATCACAGCCACTGCGGTTAAATGGCCCGAGCAGGCAGCAGCAAAGAGAAGACTGGATACTTTTAGCATACAGCAATAACATAATTTGCTCTCTCTTGCCAAGAATAAATGTGTTATGATAGATAAATGTTTAACTGACTAATACAAATATAAAAAAAAAATCTTATCTTATTTCCACACTGATATTTTATTAATTTCTTAATAATAGGATACAGAACCTTACTCAGAGGCTACTTTATACTTCTGACTTTTGGTGACTATTGGAAAATGGTGCACAGTGAGATTTTACCACAGTACCTTTTTTTGGAATACATGAGCTATTGGAAAACTCAATGGGTCATGAAAATTTTATATCTATTTTACTCTTACTTACTAAAATTATTTAAAACATACACCTTTCTTTCTTTTTATTGGTTTCCACTCGCGCCTTTCATTGCTCTAAGTGTTTTTTTGTAAAAGAGCCCCTTGACAATCTATCAGCGCTGGTTAATACATTTTTGGCTAAATTCTGAAGCGACCCATAAATGTTTCCTCAATAAAAAGTTGTAAGCTAAACTCATGAATCCACATGGTGACAGCTGCCTGGCAGGCTACGTGGAAGTTCCTTTACTCCTAATGCACGCTGATAGCATCGCATGTTTACTGCAACACAGGCCACACCAGGAAGCAGCCAGTGGACACAGGAAATGGTAGGAACCTGGCATGATTAGCAATCACTGTGGAAAACACGTACTGTATAGCCCAGTTTTATAAGGCTGTGGTTTAATATTCACCACAGCTGCAGGGGCAAAGGAATCTCCCATTCTACAAGCTTAATTATTCCATACATAAAGGATGAATATTCCATACACACACACACACACAGGTCTGATATTACCCTGAATGTGTTATTAGTTTCCCAGGAATGTAACTGGGATAAGAGGGGGTGAGGACATTTGTTCAGTTGCTGGTATTGACTGTTCCCATACATGGCAACTTTCACTAGTATCAATTATCGACAAAATAACAGTGTGTGGATAAAAACCCTAGTCTGGGCTACTATACATGGTAAAGCACAGAGAGATATGCATACACATAATCTGTGCCTATAGGATTATGACTAACACCCCTCTGTATGTAGCACACTCACAAAACACAGTAATACATCTGCCATTTTCATTGTCGTAGTGACATGTCTAACTGCGTGTGCCTTTCCTCCCAGATAAGGAGAGGAAATTAGTCAGCAAAGGAAATCGGAATTTTAATAAAAGAAAAGATTTTTGAGTATTTTTTTTCTCTCTGTGTAAACTGAATAGAAAAGGTGAATAAATCATCAGAAAATCGAAACAAAGCCACAATAAAACCACATGTACATACCCATATATATTATTTATTGGCTTTAAAGTATTGCCTTTCACTACTTTATTGGAATACATTTTAATTGTGCTCCCTGGAAGAGTCCTTTGGAGCCCGTGGGCTATTAAATACAAGAAAGAGAGAAAAGAGGAGTGCCAAAGCAAACCTTCATGGACAAAGATTTGAAGTGCAAAGAGAAACTGAAGGATTCCATTAACTCAACGGTTGTTTTAAAAGTGTTTTCTGCCACACTAGCAGCATATGAATGTATGTCAGTCCACTAATTTTGGTCTAGACTGAAATATCTCAATATCTACTTGATTGATTTCCATG